GGCTGGGCTTCTCAGAGGTGGAGCAGGTGCAAATGGTGGTGGACGGTGTCAAGCTCATGGTGGAGATGGAGAAGAAGCTGGAGAAGAACCAGACCATTGACGACATGATCCCAGCCCAGAAGTAGGCACCGTGCCTGCCCCAGCACTGCCAGTGCCTGCCCACAGGCCCAATAAAGCCATGATGGCCCCAGCACTGCTGCCTGCTGTCTGCACTGGGGGCCAGGCAGGGGCATGCCAAAGTGTGGGGCACCGGGGGGCGGGGTGGGGTGCCCTCCATACATTTCATAACTGTTTGTCTCAGAGGAACCTCAGTAGATCATTAAATCCGACCCCCTGCTCTGGGCAAGAAAGATCACTGGGGTCAGATGACCCCAGCCAGGTACTTGTCCAGTCTCCTCTTAAAGACCTCCAGGGTACGGGAGAGCACCACCTCCCTTGGAAGCCCATTCCAGATTCTGGTAACCCTTACTGTGAAGAAGTTCTTCCTGATGTCTAATCTAAATCTCCACGGCAGGGTCCAGGGCCCACAGCCTTGAGCTCCCCCTGAGGCAGGGGGCAGGGGGCGGGCAGGGGCAGGCAGGAGCTGTGCAGTGCTCCCACCCCCGCACCCAAGATGACCTATCTACCCCCCCCCCCAACATATGACAACCTGAGCCCAAAGCTCCAACCTACTCCGGCCCCTGGAAGGGTCTGTCAACTGCCTCCATTTCCCCCCCCCCCGGTGTAGGGCTGGACCCTGCAGGGCTGGGGGGTGGGGGTCAGCCCAGGCCACATCACATCACCTCCGCAGGAGCCCTGCCAGGCAACACCTACACCACCTAGCCCGGGGCTCCCAGGAGCTGGACACCTGGGTTTCCCCCTGCCCCGCCCCCCCCAAGCAGAGCAAGGCAGGGACTCTCCTATGTTTATTTGGGGGCGGGGGGGGGTACAGGCCGTCGCGCCAGGGCCGCAATAACTTAAAAACGTCCCAGGGCTCGGAGCGGCATGGGGAGTGGGGGCTACAGGGACAAACTACACCTATGTACAGGGCTGCGCTGCCCAGGCAGACGGGGAAGGGGAGGGGTTGCACTGGATCCCCACAGACGGGGGGATTGGGGCCAGGGCATCCTCCCACTCCAGCTGGGACCCCAGTGCCCCTCCCTGGGGAAGGCGGGGCAAGGACTTCCACACACCCAGGTCCCCAAAGCCCCTGGCCAGAACACCCCAGTATCCCGTCCCCACCACCCCTGGAGGGCCAGCCTCCCCGGAGTGCGGCCCCTCCCCCAGCATGGACTTGGCACCAGGGCCTGCTGGAGGCAGGGGGAGCCCTGCTAGCCCAGCGCAGCCCCCACGTGCCCCAAGCCAGGCCCTGGCACCAACTCAGCTCCCAGACCCCCTCCCCAGGCAGGACCCCCCGCCCCAACCTGCCTGCCCCAAGCACCCCTCCACTGCATGGGCAACCCGAACCCCAGCCCCAGGTCATCCCTGTACCCCAACCACGAGGCCGTAGCCACCTGCCCCAGGAGCTGCCCTAATCCAGTGCCCACCGAGGGAATGGCTCAGTGCCCAGATGCCCTAGGGCCTATCGGGGAAAGCTGGGCTGCCCCTCCAGCCCCCACGGCCCTGGGCCAGGAGGCAGGGTGGGGACTATGCCCAGCACATGCCAGGGCCTAGCCTCGCACCCAGGCCCTGGCGCTGGACCCTCTCTGGGGCTGTGGCCTGCAGAGGGGTCCTATGGTGGTCAGAGCCCGGCGCTTTGGTTGGGGAGGGTGGGCGGTGCTGGAGACAGAGCTGGAGGCATCTGGCAATGCGGTGACGTCCTAGCCCCATCCTGATGGGCCAGAGAGCCAGCGGTGCTGGGGATGTGCACAGGTCCCAGCTCTGGCACGGCGCTTCGAGGTGGGGACGGTGGCAGTGCAGACCCTCAGCCTCCGCGGGCAGCTGGGCAAGGCGGGGGCGGCGGGCAGGGCGCTTGTCACTGTCACACTCCTGGGACGTCGGAGCAGCCAGGGTTCTGCTTCCGCTTGATGCCCAGGTAGATGGCCACTGTGGAGGCATAGGCATCAGCATGGGGCCAGGGCCAAGACCCCACTCAGCTGTGCCTGGGTCTGGGGGCTGCCTGTACGGCAGGCGGGGTCTGTGCGAGACAGGCTGAGGGGCCCTGGGGAGAGTGAGGGGTTGGGAGGTGCTAAGAATGGGAAGGGCAGGGACGTGTGTGGGAGGGTTAAAGACAGCCCAGAGGTGTGCAGGGGGGTGGAGGGGTGGTCTGG